AATTGTAACATGGTTCATTTTTGTATGTTCTTGAGCATTTTTAGATATATTAGTGCAATTCCTTATTGTAATAGATTTATACTTTTAGAACTGTTTGATCCTTTGTAAAATTGGCAGTACCTGCTTTTGATTAATTTCCTGCTCCCCCCTACAAAGTAACAATTTTAGGAAACTAAGTAAGGAGTATGTGGAAGGAAATCTTTTGGAAGCATCTAAGGAACAGTTTCAGTTGCCATCTCAATGTATTTTGTGGAAACCAACTGCAGAAAAGATGGACTTGAACAGAGGAAATTTGAGGCACAGGGAAGACATTGTATTGTTTTCTAATCTACTATCACAACATTGGAACAGCTCCATGAAACCTATGCTTCAGACATATAGTACTGCTTGGCAGATACATTCTGCATTTCCCCCCCCTCCCCCCATCATTTCTTATTCAGCTTGATGAAAGAGAATTTGCTTTAGAAATGATTTCAAAGGAGAACAGCTTTTGGCAAAACTCCAAGTGCTATGTTCTTGCATTAGATGACCAAATGGTGTGTGTGTGTGTGTGTGTGTGTGTGTGTGTGTGTGTGTCCTTCTCTTCATTGTGTAGTCATTTCTCTAGTGGCCTGCCATCTTTCTAGTTTCCCACATTTCAACTGCATTCCAAGGGAAGATATTATGAGAAAACTTGTTTCACTGGGCCTTTTCAGTATCAATACCACTGTCTCTGTTAAGAAAAAGACCTTCCTTTGAGAAATTGTGGAAGAATTTCTCTTCCTAGAAAAAAAGAGCATGCCATGCTCAACAAAGGGCATTTGTGCTTTGTTTTATTTTATTTTGTAAGCATATCTCTTTGCCAGGAGGGAAAGCATTTGATGAGCCAAAGTTGTTTAAAAAAGGGAATGTAGATGATTTTATTTTTCCCAAAATGTATCTTTCCATCAAGTCTTTGTTGTCTCATTTGCACAGGAGAGGCAGTAGCTGATCTTCAAAATTACAATATATGGCTGCAATAAAGAGTTTCACCCAAATTAGGGCAAAAGATGGTGCATTCTGAATTGTACTTTAAGGTTTACTAAAGCAACATTTAAATTTCCGCCATAGGAGAGATAAAAATCACAATCTTAACAATGGAACTTTTAAAAAAATACAAGCAAATTTTATAACTTAATCCATATCAGAAGAAAAACAAGTGACATGCATTGGTACATATTTGGTGTTACCATAAGCAGCAGAGGAATTCTTATTGTGATCATATTGTAAATGTGAAATTGATAATTTCACATACATTGGATGGACATTTTCCATGTCAGAACCATATATTTAATGTTCCTAAGGTTTGGCTTGGAAGATTGGACACATTCCTTTTTATTTTAATACATAAAAATATTTGATATTGACTTACAAATATTAACTATTTGCACTGAAGATATTACCTATTTTGGTAATGTTTTCTGCAACATTAGAGCTACAGATATACTCTTCTATCAGTAGTATTGTATGGGTTTGTTCTGTATTTTTATTTCCTGCAGTCCTAAAACTATTTTTGACAGTGCTGTTTGAAGTGAACTTCTTCAAACAAAAGTTGAAGCTTGTTTATAGAATATATCTTTATTAAATTTTCAAAGTTATAGTTTTCTGAGTTCTATTTTTTTTTCTAAACTCATTTGATATAATCAAGCTAATAATAAACTTCAGGCTTTTTATTAGGTTCTTTTTTTTTTTTTGTAGGTAGGTATATTGCTCAACCAAGGAAAGATGCTTAGAGTTTTAAGATGCTCGGTTTCTCTTTTGCTCATCTATAACTGATCAATATAACAACAAGCAAAATATCTATGCTTGAGTATAATCGCCCAACTTTGTATCAAGTTAGGTAAATTCTGGATCCTGTATAAACTGATTTTGATTATGGAGGTTCATGTGTAAATGACCTGTGTCTGGAATATTGAACAACTTTGGAATACAATCTTCCACATAAAGAAATAAATTAGGATTCCTTTGTTCTTCATAGAATTATAATTTTCCTTAATTATAATTTTTCAAATGTTAATATTATAGAAAATATTAATGAATAATAATAATTACCTAAATTGGGATGCATTGTGACTAAATGTGCAGAGATTGTAACATAATCCCTTTTTTATTCAGTTATAGGTGCCCAGCGCAGGAGAAGCCCCAGTGCCCTTGCCACTGAAGTATTTGAGTCACATTTGGGAAGTCACATTTTACAGGTAAAAGCAATGGCTTTGCAAACAAACCAACAAATAGTTTAACATGTTTAGTAGCAAGATATAAGACACCTGTCAAATATTGGATATTGCTATTACTTTTAGAGTCTATACAGTGGGGGTTTGTCTTAAAGATTCTTTTTTTTTTAAATGAATGGTTGAGAGAATGTTATTGAGAAAGGGGGACAATTATTATTTGTACTGTAATAATTTAAAACTCAGCACTTTAGTTGTATTATGTTGTGCAATAGCAATTTGGTTCCGCCAAATATCTGTATATATTTAAGTATTAATCATTTTGTGAAAAAAAAATGTTTTAATCTTGTTCACATGTAGATTTTCATTTTTCTCCTCCTATTGTAGTTTTTCAGCACTATTGCTTCAACTGTTATATTCATTGTGATATTTACATTCCTTTAAAAGATAGCATGTCTTTAACACTTTAGATAAGCAATATAGGGTTCCTCCAAATTTCTTTTAGTACCTATTGAAGACATTATCTTGACAAATGTTATGTATCAGCCATGTGTTTTCATGTTGGTCTGACACAAGATTCCTAGTAGAATCTCATTTGGATCAGAATCAATATATTTTTTCAGTGTAAGCAAAATATAAACATCTATTTTATCATCAACTTTACTTCTTTGAAAATAATTTCTGTCCCTGTACATTAAACTTTGCATCCAGCAGAAAATATAACTTTAAGTTAAAAAGCAAAGGGCTGAATTCAGGTGTCCTAATAAATCTGTTATACTATATTACAAATAAGTCAAGACTTGTCCCCTCCTCTGACTTTTCTATCCTTCTTTGCTTTTCTTTTGTTGCCTATCTTTTGTTGCTATATTTTTGGTGAATTGTTGAACAATAATTGGCAAAATGATTGGCAAAGTAAATTTCTCAAAAAATAAAAACCAGAATGATTGTAATGATTTTTATTCATCAAGTGAATGGATTTCTAATACATAAGATCTTGGTAAACTTTTATCTTGCATAGCTTTATTGTGTGTGTAATCATAACAATATTTGCATATATTCCAAAAATTTATGCTGGTTTTAGTTGAATGTGATTTAATACATTTACTATCTGTTCTGAAGGAGGAAGAAAAAAGATGTTGTTTGATATGTTATCACCATTAATAATAATGACTATGCAATCAACTATAACAATAATAACTTTTAGCATCATCAAACAGTAACATCTACCTATCCCAGGTCCTTGGGAATGACTTGAAGAGGGATAAAAATGCCAAATCCAGTCTAAACATCTGGATGACTGTGGGATGAATCATAATAGTATTAAAATAATGTGAGAGTTTGGAAATCACTTGAAATCATGTACATAAAATAATAAAAAACACATTATTATTATTTGATAAATGTGTATGTCATCCACACTTGCTTGATAGTTAGATGGACAGCATATACATTAAATAAATAAATAAATAACAATTTATTTAACAAAAGGAGTTCTCCTGACTGTGACTTTGCCATCATAATTTTCTTGCAAGTGTTAGCTGGAGATATGCATGGAACATAGAAATAGCTTTGGGTCTTGCTATCTTCTGATAGACTTCTTCATGAATGTATCCAATCTCCATTTAAAGCCATCTAAGTTATTTGACAGCCAGTTTGGTGTAGTAGTAAAGACAACTGGCTAAAAATTGGGAGTCTTTGAGTTTTAGTCTCACCTGATCACAAAGCCAGTTGGGTGATCTTGGGCCAGTCACTCTATATAGTTTATATTACTGCAACATAGTGATACATTTCATAGGTTCATTGTGTGAAGGAGTTCATTTTGTCTGTTCTGAATCTTCTTCCATCTGGCCTCATTGGATGACTCCTGGTCCTAGTGTTTTGAGACAGTTTGATGTGTGCTTTGTAGTCCTTAATCACCATTGTTCACCATTCTTCTAAGCTTCAGGCTCAAAATATTCTAATATTTTCTTATAGCTTATTAAAGTATTGTGGGTATCTTTTCATTTTTATTGCTGTTCTTTGAATGTTGCTCAGCTTCTTTTCCAAATGTGGTGACTTGAACTGTGCATGGTATTCCAGATGTGGGTATCACAAATTTACATAAAGACATTACAATGTGGGCTGTTTTCTTTTTTAATCCACTTCTGATGCTCATTAGCATGGACTTTTTCTTGTTCATGGTTGCTGCTCAGTTGACATCTTCATTAAGCAATCCATAATGACCCATCAAGATAATTTTCCTGGTTAGTTACAGACTTCTCAGATCCAGTTAGTGCAATGTGCATATACATACATACATACATACATACATACACGTGTGTGTGTATGTGTTTGCGCCCCAGCATATAAATATAAAATATTTATGTTTACATTGAAGCACATTTGCCATTTGGTGGATGATTCATTTAGTTTAAAGAGATCTGTCTGGAGCACAATCACTTGATCTTCACAAGGTTTGGTATCATCCAGAAATTTGGGCATAGATAATACTTATTTATTAGCCAGAATTGTTTATGAATGAGTTAAAAAATACTTCTCAGAACAGATCTTGAGAGACTTCTTTTATTGAGGAAACAGAAATTTAATTCCTGTCCTTTGCATTCAGTTATGAGTCTATAAAAGAATATGTCTTATCCCTTGATTCCTAAGTTTACCCAAGAGCTTTTGATGGAAATCAAAGTTTGTTTGAAAATCCAAGTTTACACTGTTGGCAGAGTACCTCCATGTCCCTGAGAAAGTCAGTACAAGTTTAAGTATCTATCCTGTATCTTTTGTAGTAAAGAGATGCAAGGAATTCATTTCATTTCTTTGCGTGTCACAAACAAATTATATAATCAAAGCAACAATTGAAGTCAGTTATCTTTGGGTCAAAGGAATATGGCTCAATAACATAACACCAGGAAAAAGAATTGCTACATACAGTATAACTGAAAAACTCTGATTGAATTCATGGTAGGAAGAGTTTGTTGAGAATAAAGTAATTAACCACTATATTTTTTTTCAGTTTTTGTTTCAACCTCTTAGTGACTTTGTCTTCACTGTCAGGTAAAATATATTAATCATATCTACGAAAAATAATAATCTAAGAATATAGTATCATGGCATTTATTTTGATTATTCTATGAAAAATAGATTAATATGCTGCTACAAATATAGGCAATCTGACTTGCAATCTTTTTCTTTATGAAGTTGTATAAAGACTTAAGATTACAATGAAGACATTGATTGACCTCATCCTTTTAATATAATCAGGAATGACCAGAAAATGTAAGATTAAATATGGGGAAAACTAAAAGTGAGATAATATATTTGCATATGCAAATTAGCTTAATTGATCCTGCTTGCCTCTACAGGGATTTTTCATTACAAACTGGAGTGCTACATTGTTCAGCTCATATTGAGTAATTTAGTAACTAATGAGACCAGTTTGCACTAATTTGCATATGATAAATGAGCTTAATTGCAGTAAATAACTTGGAGGCATAATTACTTAATTTTCCTGTGTTGCATGGCTTTTAAGTTCACATATGAACAACTCAAGATAATTCTGCATATTTAAATATTGCATTTTGAATGTCTTAAACCAAAAAGCATATCTTTGAATGTTATACTGTAAAACAATCAAGTGAGGTTTACTGTACTGCTACTTAAACTGTAGACATTATGAAGTGTTGATCTTTGGACAATTATGATTTTATACCCAACCTTGCTAATGACTACACATGTGGCAAAAGTACAATGGCACTTAAAAACCAAGATATTATTTATGTTGGTATGATTCCTTTATCCATAATATAACACTTTGGTATACCATACATTATGACTGCTAAGAGAAGAGAAATAACCATTTAGAAAGTTGTTTGAAATTGTGAAGAAAAACAGGACCCAAAGATAATGTTCCTATCTGCAATCTAGATTTTAGACAATTATATAAAACCTATGTACAGAGGTTGGAGTAAATGTATTTATTATGCAACTAAATACTATATAGAAGTTACAGCATGTGTGATGCATTCTCCTCTTTGAGGAAAACAGAGAATTAAAAGATGCTTTGGGTTTTTTTGAGTATTATTTAGAACAGCATGTTTAATAGGTATCTCACTCAGCTCCTTCCCAGTGCTTTGCTTTTTCAAGGCTTGAATTGATGAACAGGATACTAACAGTGAGGGCTAAAAGAAGCTTTCTAGTAACCAAAGATGAAAATTTACAGACGAAATGGGAAGCCTGCAAGGGAAATGGGAGATAGAATAGGACAAACAAAATGTAGAATCGAATCTACAAAGGATATCAGTTTGATAGTATTTGATGATGGTGTTACAGGAGAGACAAGTAATGTGGGCATCAATATACTTGCAGTATTGTATGTATAAATTCCCTTTAGGCTATTCGCCATATTAGATTTTTATTTAAATATTGTTTGTTGTCAATATTGAGGTTGTCCTCAACTTATAGCAGTTCATTTACTGAACCTTCAACGTTACCATGGCACTGAAAAAAGTGACTTATAACTGTTGCAGCATCCCGAATGATCACATGATCAAAACTCAGATGCTTGGCAACTGTTTCATATTTATGATGGGTACCGTGTCCTGGGGTCACATGGTCAACTTTTGCGACCTTCTGACAAGCAAAGTCAATAGCAAAATCCGGATTCATTTAACAACCATATTACTAACTTAACAAATGCAATTATTCACTTAACAACTGTGGCAAGACCTAAAATGGGGCAAAACTCACTTAACAAATGTTTCACTTGGCAACATAAATTTTGGGCTCAATTGTGATAATAACTCGAGGATTGCCTTAATTATTTCTGGGTTCTGCATATATATTCCTAAAAAATGTTGCGTAGATGCATCTCTGTCAATGCGGGGTCACAGTTGCTACAGTCTTGATTCAATACAGCAAGTGATTCATTAGCAGCATGGAACTTTGAATATTATCCTTCCAAGTACGTTAAATACATTTTATTACACGTTAAAATCCAAATCACATGGATTTTGATGTATATGGATTTATCCAGGGTA